GTATATACTATAAAATCTAAGAGAAATCCTGTTTCGCAGTCCGCTAATTCAAATATCTTCATACCAAATCGGTGTCTCTTCAATGGTAAGAATTGTTTGAATTTTAGCTTCCCTTTCCATAAGACTAAACTTTCGTCAATGCAAAGTTTTTCACCAGCAATAATAGTATTACTAAACTTTTCTTTCAAATGATCTATCACTGGTTTGATTTTTTTCAAAGGATGATTGGAAACTTCTTCATTATTAGAAAAGTGAAAGTATCGTAAAATTTGAAGATATCTATTTCGAGATAGACTTTTGCCGTATATTGGAGTGTACAGCAGTGGNTCTTGGCTCCAATAATCCTTTAGTTACCCTTTTACAACATGACCCATGTTTATTGATAAAGCAATAATTATCCATAATTTGTCTTCAGTGATAGGAGTCCACGGCTTCATATGTATTCGATCCGGTTCGGGATTTTGTTCTTGAAAAAGATTGGTTTGTTCTACAATCAAATTTACAAGAAATGTATTTACAAAATATTTCAAACATTCTAATGGAGTAGGTTTGTCTAGAGACACGTGATCACAAATACGTGCTTCACCAGTAAAAGTTTTTATAGATGGGTAAAAATAAGGATCATAGTGTACATCTGGTATATTCTCATCATGTTCGTTATCAAGTAAATCAACATCACAAGCAATAGTTCTGTCTGTAATAACATCTTCTTCAGGCTCTGACTCTCCACTACTCCAAGCTTCGTCATCACCTGTATTCATTGTATAGCAAAAGTAATAAAGTACGAGGAAGATAAAAAGTAACGGCAAATGTTGTATCAACACAGGTAAAAAAAATAAGTGTATCTCGAGCCTGACCTAACAGAGAACGCGAGGCGACAGGTGCTCCTACGCGCCGTTCTCACGCATGGCAAGGACGGACGACGATAAACGGGCAGGCCTAATCAAGAAATATATTTTTGATCTGCTATTCACAATTTTGCCAAATTGTTTTACTAGTAAATAGAAACTTCAAAAACCCAAAATAAAAATAAATTTGTTTATAATTGCAGCCGCACGCGAATCAAGCCATGTATTTGTTTTAGAGTATTTCACATGAAAATTAGGGGTACGGGGTGAGTGGGGAAGGAACGGGCAAATTGACATTATATAATATTAAAAATTGCTAATAATATTAAGAACTTTAATATTTAATTAAAAAAATAAATAGAACAAGTTGTTCTGGTGCGCCAAAATATTGGTTTTCCGGCCCTCTTAAGGTTAAAGCCTTACAAAATCGAACTTTTTTTTACATAAAAGATGTTTGTGCTCCTTAAAAATTAAATGTGCTCTACATTTCTAACATATTAAAGAATATTTGCAATTTTTCAGCCGGTTGGTCCTTTGCATTAACGAATAATAAACAAATGTTTATCGACACTCGAGGAGGATAGCGCTTCTGAAACCATTACAAAGTTTAGCATTTTTTGAACATTAAAGACTTTTGTGCTCCCTAAAAATTGAATGTTTACTGCGTTGTAACAATGCAAAGCTAGTTTGTGCAATTTTTCAGGCGGATGGTTCTTTGCATTAACGAATAATAAGCAAATGTTTATCGACACTCGAGGAGGATAGCGCTTCTGAAGCCATTACATAATTTAGCATTTTTTTTAACATTCAAGACTTTTGTGCTTCTTAAAAATTTAATGTTTACTGCGTTGTAACAATGCAAAGCTAATTTTTGCAAATTTTCAGGCGAATAGTCCTTTGCACTAATGAATAATAAACAAATGTTTATCGACATTTGCAAGGGATAACGGTTTCTAAAAGATTGTAAGTTTTTTTTTACCATTAAAGGTGTTGGTGCTCTTTAAAAACTAAGTGACTACTATATTAACAACAAAGAATATTTGTGCAAATTGTCAGCCGGCTGTTTGTTTGCATTGACAAATAATATTGTTACACGCGACTCACTGTTGAACACGCTGTGCGAAAGTTTTTTGCTGACTTGTTAGACGTGTTAGTTCAAAGTAGTGTTTTTTGCTGTTCATGTGTTTATGAGTTAGCACTCATAATGCAGTGTCAAACATAGATTTAGCACGTGCAATCAGTAATGTTGCGTCAGGAAAAATCCATGACTTTTGAGACTTATTACATAAAGAAAGTTACAAACGGAAAGAACCGTTGTGGCACATGTTATGTTGTAATATTTTACCTGCTAGTGCATGAGATCGAACAGTTGATAAATATGTACAAACAGGTTATTATAGATTTTAGAGATATAGCAATATATAATAATAAAACAAATAGAAAGGAACGAATAGGATCTGATAAAAATTCATAAAAGTATGGATCAAACGGCCAATAAGAGCCTTAACACGGATGTAAGTGTGTGAAATTAAGAATTTATTATAAATATTTTAATCGTAAAGTTTTGATCCCAGGTTTGGATCATCTTCAGACAAAGCCTGTTCAAATACGAAATAGTAACAAGCCATAAAATACTTGTATAAAGTATATAGGTTTTCAATATTGTTAACAGATGTTTCTGTCTGTGTGTACCAATTTTTTATTTGAAATTATTATACCTGTTTGTGAGCATTTGACTTTCAACATGAATAAGTGACAGTCGTTTTACCAATTTTATCAATTTACTATTTGGAATTGTGTTCGACATGTAAAAGTCTTTTGACATCTAACGATTTACCAGCTTTGTAAGTTATAGTAAGTTGTTGTTATTCTGTAATCTAAATTTTTTATACATGTATTTTATGGCTTGTTACTATTTCGTATTTGAACAGGCTTTGTCTGAAGATAATCCAAACTTGGGATTGAAACGTTACGGTTAAATATTTATAATAAATTCCTAATTTTACACACTAATAGTCGTGTTAAGGTCCTTATTGGCCCTTTGTTCTTTACTTTTATAATAAAACAACTTATTGATGAAAGACTACTGAACAATATTTAAGAAGTTGCAAATTCATATGCAAATATGGATATTTGTGATAATGTTAGTGATTCTGTGCAATACGAAAAATCAAAAATTTGTCAAGTACTGACTTTAGTTTTGATTTCACCGAAACTTTTCAGTGCTTCAATGACAATAGTTTTCTTGTTAATGAGTGTATTATAAGTAATACTGAAGGTAATTCTGTACAAGATTCTAATAGAAGTAATGTTGAAGTTAATTTTGTACAAGGACCACAGAAGTCTAGTAAACTACCTGGCAAGAAGATGAACAGAGTGTTCTTTCTCGGAAATTTTTCAAACTGTTTGGTGGTAGAACAATATTGAAGAGTTGGGTGCTTTTAATGATGAATTTACAATTCAGTATCCTAAATGTGTACTTGCTTTCAAAGACCAGAGTACTTTGCAGAAAGCACGGATTGGTGACGTAAATTTTCAAGCTCGCGTCAATTGCAAACATAAACATTGTACAAAATACAAGTTTTTTTATAAAAGGTAATATCAACGAACTTTATACCAACAAGTCAGTACACGTTTTGTTACAAAAGGAAATACAACATCGCGAAGGAGATGTGCATCGGCGATATGTGCGATATCAAAAACGGGCTGCTGTTGCGGAAGATCTTCAAGAACACTTATCATTATATGTGAAATATGATTATTTAAACAAAGCTTGCACAGCATTGTTGAAGGCTGGCAATTGTTTAGAAGTGCCACGTTTTTTGGTTCTTCAAAAAATACGTAGTGAAAATACTATTAAGTATGACTTATCGAAAGATTTTGATACATTTATGAAAAACTTAATGGAAAAATACGATAAAGAATGGACGGGAAAAGAATGGACGGGAAATGAAGTTCAATAAATTTCAATAAAAAATACATTAATCAGTATTCAGTTAAACCGTTTTATATAACTGTTATATATTTGGGTCGGTGGAAAAGCTCTGCGGATTTTTTAATAGATGACACTAGTGTCAGAAAATAATTATCGCATGTCGTTCAAATGTCAGTCTGCCGCACATATTTTGACAAGTCACACTACACTTGACATTTGGCAGAAGTGTTTGTTTTGGTCGGACGTATTTTGCGTGTACGGCATACAACTAAAATGGAAGATAAAAAATTGCATTTTCGCCATATTTTGCTGTTTTTATTCCGTAAAGGATATAAAGCGGCGGACGCTAAGCGCGAAATATGCGCCATGTATGGTGCCTCGGCTTTAAGCGCAGACACATGTGAAAGATGGTTTGCTAGCTTCCGTTCCGAAAAATTTAACCTCCAAGATGCACCACGCTCTGGACGGCCAAATTCTGTTGACGACAATCAACTCGTGGCTACAGTAAAGAGTGATCGACACGTAACGACTCGAGAGATTGCGAAGCGCTTTGGCATTCATCATACAATATTCATCATACAAGTTATGAATCGATTAGAAAAACTTGGCATGGTGAAAAAGCTTGATGTATGGGTGCCGCACGAACTGAACGACAAGAACATCATGGATCGGATTTTAGTGTGTGAATCTCTCCTGAAACAAAATTCTCTAGACCCTTTTCTGAAACGGATCATCACTGGAGACAAGAAATGGGTTGTCTACAACAACATTACGGCGGAAGTCGTGGTGCGGTCCGGGCGAGTCTTCACAAACGGTGGCAAAACCTAATTTGCATCCACAGAAAGTAATGCTATATATTTAGTGGGACTATAAAGGAGTGCTGTGGTTCGAGCTGCTCCCACAGGGCCAAACAATAGATTAGAAGAAATACTGCTCTCAGCTCGACAAATTGCGCAAGGTAGTGCAAGAGAAGCGGCAGAATTGTCGAATAGAAAAGGTGTGATTTTCCATCATGACAACGCTCGACACATACTTCTTTGATCACAAAAAAAAAATTGCAGAGCTTTAGCTGGGAAATAACGCAGCACCTACCATATTCGCCGGACCTTGCACCATCTGATTATCACTTGTTTCGCTCGCTGCAAAACAATGTTGACGGTCATCAATTCGACTCAATAAAGGCCATCCGAAATCACCTCGTTGATTTTTTTGCTCACAAGTCCCGAGAGTTTTACGAAAGCGGCATCAAGGCCCTACCAAAACGTTGGCAACAAGTTGTAAATCAAGATGGTCAACACATTGTGGACTAAATTAATTTGTATAAATGTCGATTTTGTGTTTAAAGTTTATACTAAAAATCCTCAGAACTTTTCCACCAACCCAATATTTGTTTTAATAACACAAGTACTGCGCTATGTAAGTTTTCTGAAACCAAAACTAGTAATGGCGAATTTAGATGCCACGGGATCCTTCGTTGATCCTCTGCCTTGGACAACAGCGCAGAGTTTATATTACACTCTTATATTGCCAGGATCTGAAACATATGGTCCAATTCCATTTGCTGAATTCATTTTTTCCGTTGAATGTACCTTAGATATCCGTCAATTTTTAGATATTGTTCACGACTATTTAACAAAATTGACATCCTATAGTCCAGTCATCGACAAAATAGATTGATCTTAATCTAGCCGCATTACTATCGGTTTCCCGCAGTTTTAATGACGTGTTGTTATCTAAATATATTATGGCATTATACGAGAATACAGAAAAAGGCATACCGGCACCATTTAACTAGACCGTTATTCATATTTGTTTATCGCATTGCCGTAATACAGTTTTAAAAAAACTTAAAAAAATGTTTTACCATTCACAAAAAATGAAAACAATGCGCAATACCGCAGCAATATTTGTCGCTCAAGTACTTCATTGTAAATTCGTGCAAGAGGCCGAACAAATCGTTTAAAACATTGTCAGATTCTTCGGGTGTGAAAATGAAATATCCGATTTTGACATGCGCCTGAAATACATAAAAGATTCTCGAAACGAAGAATTTGATTGTAAGTAAACCGATGATAAACCAGACAATGACCGCGTTAACGACAAATCAAAAAGACGCAGTTCTCCGTATTTTTACATATTTACTTCAATTAAAGACAATATTTTACACAAAAATAATGTTGCCGTGCCAAAAAATACATAATATTCGCCGAAATTTATAAATTACATGTTTGAGTTTTTATTACCTTATTTCTGTTTATGGTCTGCTGTAGGTATTAAGCGTTTTGACATTATTCGCGATAGTAAGGCACCTATTGAAAATTATTTCAAGATAGTTAAACAATACTTAAACGAAAACAAAATGCACGTACCAGCGACACGTTTTATTCAAAGAAACGAACCGTTTATTTAGGCAAAAGTAAAAAAACGCAAATTTGATGTAATATCAACACGTCAGAAGAAAAGAAAGCACAACACTGACGATGATGAAAATGCAACTGAAACATGGAGAAGAGCACGGAAAAGCCGAATTAATCGCTTTTTTACATGTCCAAATTTTTGTCATCACAGAAAAATACAATACAACAGACACTGAAGATTTCTATAAAGATGACAAACATTCTAACGATGAACATTCTGAAACAAGTGTTGAGGTTCAGTCGTTACATGAAAGTACTGATATTCAATCTACGAGTCAAAGTTTTGATGCTTTATCTTTGAATATAGAAAAACCAGATGTTATATCAAATCCTAATTCAATAAATTACGATGACAATGCAGAAAAAATACCGTGGATTCTCACAATTTCTGAGTACCCAGCAAATTGGATGAAATCTTCTTTCTATATTGGAAAATAGTTTATCAATAGACTCTATGCAGACGTTACAACCGAATAGATAAATGATAATATCATAAACGGATTTTTTGCTATCCTTAAAGAAACTCCACAAGACGAGCCGTTAATATGTGACGCACACTTTTTGTCCAGTTTTCTGCAAGCAGACGATGGTAGAGTAGCCTTTCTGAAATGGACGCGCCGAATGAAAGCGTGGACGTACGATATATGGTTAGATCCAGTATGTCACAATGCACACTGGACATTACACGTCGTAGTATTTCCGCATGAAGTAATATTATGTACTGACTTATTACATGGATTAAATACTTTACACGTTTTACCAAGATTATACGGATTTATAAAAAAATTGCACATGCGTATGGATACGCCAGTATTCGACTGAGAAGAATGGATTTTCCATCGCTTAGGTGATGTAATCAGAAAACCGTGGCAGAAATCGGATCTAATTGTGGCGTTCATGTGTGTGTTTGGGTATAATATAATTTTTCACGGAAAATATTGGACATTTAATAAGAGTGACATGTCAACTGCTCGAAAATAGATTATGACAGAACGGGTAGTACTCTATTGACCACAGTACGATTCGACACCGCTCGATTCGACACAGATTTATTCGACACCAAATTATTCGACACCGTACGATTCGACACCAGA